GCTTCCATTTCTCGCGAAGAATTGATTCTTCATGGTGAAGAATTCTTCTATTTCTGAAATATTTAACGGTGTCTGATTGGTTCACTTGACAGTTATATGGGTGTGTCTTCATTGGTCTTTGTTCAGCACACAAAAAGAAACTATTCAAAACTCACGTGCTGTTTACAATAATATTTAAACTTTCTATGCATTGCTACAATTTATTTCACTGAAATCTTTTGTCGCCTTTCTGAATATTATTTTTCACATTTCGGTACATACAAAAAATACAACCGTCGTCATATATATCAGGGCCTTGTCATCTTAACACAAACATTTTTCAAAAATATAGATATTACGATTCTTGTTACAAGGATATTCATTGGTTCAGTAGCTTTAATATCTTCACCGTACCAATTCCCCAGTTAATCACTTAGCATCGTTTTTGAAAGGGGACGACAGCCAGAGGATTTTTTTTACTTACCTGAAAAAAAGTTGACAAGCAAAACAAATAACATATCCGAAACTCGATTGTCCTATTTCGGGGGAGGTGGGGGCTTTCAATGAACATTTTCGATAGGAAAAGTTATGTCTGGAAAAAATTGGGGGGGGGGGGGCAGGCTGCCCCTCTAAGTACGTGCCTGAATCAAGTTATTTCACATAATCCAGTGCTAATCTGAATGGAATGGAGTCCATTCTGAAACCGTGTAAGGTAACACTGCATGATCAGATCTAGAGATGCTCTTGCCAGATTGCTCCCGACAATTAACTCATTAATTTCTCTCTAGTCTGACATGCACGTTTCTGCTATCAAAATTCCCCCTGACCAGTGCTTGATAATTATGCCCATGGGTCAAACTGAATTCCTCTCAAAACATTAACATTTGTTACAGAATTTGCTGTAAAGTATATGATGAAAAAAAAACAAGTTTTCACTTAATTTAGCATTTTTAATAAGGATTCAACTATATATTTACATTTTTTAGGATTATGAAATTTAAAATTTTGAAGACTTAAAAAAAAATCACTTAAATTAAAGGTCACTGTGACCTTGAAATAGGTCGTGACACACCTTCTACCCAAGATGCATAAATTGTCCAACTTTGATGATTGTAAGTCTATTTGTTTTCTAGTTGTGAGCCAAACAAATTCACAAAATAAAAAAAAAACACATGTAAAATGCAGAAAAATCATCCAATCATGCTGAAAATACCAGGTGCACACCTTCATATGGTAAATGATAAGTGTATAAATTTTTAGACGAAAGTTTCTGAGAAACGGTCCGGACAAAATCTTGTCTACAGACGGACGGCCAGACAGACGGACATGGTGATTCCAATATACCACCTAAACTTCGTTTGCGGGGTTATAAAAATGACCTTTTACCCACAAATACACCGAAAGCGGGGGACCACAATTCTTTGAATTTGCTTGTGGTAATTGATTTTAGAAGAGTTTCACAGCATCTGTTTGTTTTGAATTTTCACTGGTTTTCATTCTACCCAATTTAAAAAAAAAAAAAAAAAAAACTTCTCTGAAATATGCCATATCTTGGGATACATTTTTTTTTTCAAATGCGATATCAACTTCCTGTTTGTCTGTGCGTCTGTCTGTTTCACACATAACACATTTTCGTCGCAGTTTTCTCATTAGCTATTCATAGCGGATGCTTGAAATTTAATTACACTCTTTGTTGAGGCATGTCATATGGTAGGATTAATTTTGATATGAATCTGATGTCAGCTTCATATTTTTCTGTGCATCTGCCTGTAATTGAACTTGTGACAGTGTATATTAACATGATAGTGCCTATTTACATCAGAGCGGGGGTATTACTAGTGAGCATTGGCTCACAGATTTCTTGTTTGTTTTTGCTCTAAGCACATTTTATAAATATTGTTTGTGCCAAATCCAGTGTCGGATTTGTTATATCCTGCTCAAGAAACATGTACTTTTATATCAGTACTTTTATCATCTATTTGAAAAAGTAAAAAAAAAGAAAAACATTAAGAGTCTCTAGAAGAATAAAGATGTTATTAGAGTTTAAAACTGTACTTGAACTGATAACTAGAATATCTGCGCATGTATATTTGTATGATCCCTCTTAATGCATCTAATATGTAAATTTTACTTTTTTATCGAGTTGGCTTCATCAACAGTGTTTACGACATACTACAGACGTTTGTTGCAGTATACTAATAGAAAACAAATATTTTAAAATAATAGAGAGAGTTGAAGGTGAATATCAAATTTCACCATAATTATTAATTTAAAAATTCATCGATTCGTGTATTGAAGATACATCACATTGGAATTTTAAACGTACAACAGTTTGGTTTATATGTTTGGCTACATACACAAAAACAAACCATATAAACCCGATCCAATGGGAACAAGACTGTTGAACATGTAATAAAATTTCACATGAACAATTTCTGTTAATTTCTCTATCCGCTACATTGCTAGCTCCACTGTACAAAAGATACGCGCAATTGTTTTCTCCCAGTTTATGCCCAATGAATCACGGTAGTCTTTACAAATTACAATCAGCTGCTTGTTATGGTTTTGATATTAAATAAACCACCTCTATTAAGAATAAGGTCTACTTCAAACACGCCCCTTTAGGTTTTACGTATCTGAGATGAGCACTTTTATCACACTGTAGAGGACTCACAGCATCACCAGAACACTGCCCATGGTCAGTAAATCGAAGCAAAATGAGGAGAGAAGTGTGGTCCTTGGTACCGTGGGACAGTTTATACATGTGTTAAACAATATTCAAAATAAAATGGCAAGATGCACATATAAAAAATCAGTTCTGCTTTGAGACAAACCATAGATCCTGGCACAAAAAATATTAAATAGCCTGTATTTTCCTTACAACAAAACGCTCTGCTCATGACAAAAAACTATATGTTAGGTATGTTTCTTTGAAAATCTTCTCTGCCCCCGGGTATTAAATAAACTAATTTAGTATATATTTATAATGAGGAAATGTGCCTCAACCTAATTTGTGAATTTCATGGCTCCCTGGGTCATGGGGTTTTGGTGCAAGGGGAGGGTGCTCTTTGATTATATAGTGAATATACATTAATTCTCTGAAAACCTTTTCTTTTGCTCCTTGGTATTATGCCATTGATCTAGGTTTTTATATAAATGTCGAAGAGAGGTGCATCAATCAAAATAATTATTTTCATGCCTCCCTGGGTCAAGGATAACGGGGGGGGGGTACATATTCTGAAAACAACTTAATGCTTTGAAATCTACTCTTTGGTAATAATCAACCATTTATGATCAAATAAAATGTATGTTTGAATTTCCAAAATTTTGAAATGTGTGACTCAAGGGTCAGTGGATCCTGTAGGGTGGGGTGCACAACTGGTTTTAAAGTAGAAGTGCATTTGTTACTCTGATCTACCTTTGGATATTAAGTGACAATAGTAAGTAAGCTAAATATATAATTATAAAAAGCATTGGTGCCTCTTGCAAAATTGTGAATTTCATAGCCTATGGTGTTAAACACGAACCAAATTCAATCGTTGGAAAGCTGTTACATGATACTCAGGTGACCTATAAGGCCCGTAGACCTCTTGTTTCTCTTTCTGTCATTTTTAAACAGGTCGAGACCACTACCTTATATGGAAGGCAATTTTCAACACGTGACAATATCTTCGTCACACCTGTTCGCCAATCAAGTGAATGAGTCCAAAAGCATGACACTCTACTACGTGTTTACTCTGTGTTGACACGTGGTTTTCGTCGGTTTCTGGATAATATTGAAATGAAATCTATTTACAAAATCAGTAACATTTAAAAAATTTCCTTCATTGTCTAAGAAATCACAAACACTTTTAACGCCATTTACATACCAAGTCTTTACAAAAATTATTTTGTTTCCAGGGATTGTACCACACAGGTAAGTTCAGATACTTAGTTTTCATATATGAATTGTTGAGTGCTTTCATGAGATATAATCATGAATTAAACACATCTTTCCAAAAAATGTTATTTTTTTTACAATAAAGCAAGACACATACTCTTCGCCAAAAACCATGATTGATTACTTTTTGTTAATCTTTTAATCCAGGAGCATTTAAGAGATGTAATAAAGTTATTTACATCCAACTTTTTAATCTTCCTTGTAAAAATTCTGAGTAATAACTTTCCTTTTAATTTTATCACATTTTGATTTCCATATAAACTCAAAGACTTCTTTGTTCAATAATGATAGAGTTTCTTTACTTGGATTAGGTAAAGATATAAAACGATGGTTAAGTTTTGGTAAAAGTAATGTTTTAAGAACTGTAACTCTGTCAATAGGAGTAAGAACCCTTCTTTTCCATTGCTGAATTAATGCTTTGATCTTTGGTATTTGAACATTGTAGTTTAAATCAATAATTTTATCTAGTTCTACTGAAAAATTAATTCCAAGTAAATTAAAAGTTGTACAACCCCATTCAAGTTTCCAACGAGAATGATGGAAAACTTGAGAGAATTTTTTTGAACTTATCCAAACAATTTTAGTTTTTGAGCTGTTAATTTTAAGTCCTGTAAACTTTGAGATAAAATCATTTGTATCTAATGCTGCAAAAAGTGATTTAGGTGAACCGTCAAGGGCAAGCCAGGTATCATCTGCATTTTGGGATATTTTATGTTCTGTTTTGTTAATAACAATTCCTTTGATGCCTTGATTTTGTTTGATCATAATTGCAAGAATTTCTGCACAAAGAAGAAACAGATAAGGTGCCAAGGGATCTCCTTGACGACATCCTCTTTGGATATAAAACTGTTCGGATAAAAATCCACGTTGAAGCACCGACGCACAAAATTTTGTATTTAGAATTTTTACCTTAACCTTTGACATAGAAGCACGGTTCAATGTCACTGCACACTGGTTACTCAAAGGTACTTTTTTTGAGTATGGACCAGACTAGGCCGACGAATAAAAATATGCTCCAGACAAGAATTTGAACATTAAGGCTATTTTATAATTCTTAATTCTGATCGGGTTCGGTATTGAATTTATATTAAACTTTTGTTTTAAATCCTGTGAACGTTGACATAATTTAAATGGATGAAAAGATGGTAATTGTTGTAATATATATATATTAATGTACATACTTTAATTTTTGATTGGTAATCACCACTTATTTCTTTTATATCACTTAAATCAAGTTTTGATTGAATTATTCATTTATTAATAAGTGAAACTTGTATGCTACAATTAAAAGCTTGCTAGTCCTCAGCCAGAACCACTGCTATTTTGAGGTTGCTTTATAGCGAAATTGAAAGAAGACTTTTGATTAAAGTATATATATATATATAATTACTAACCGACTGTAATCTTAATATAAATTACGAACATCACCTTATACCTATAGAGATCTCTCAAATTGGTAAGTGAGAATTCTGGTGCAGCCGTTTTGGAGTTTAATTTTAATTTAAATTTTAATTAGACGTATTTTGAAATGCTACTAAGTACATAGATTCTAGGACAAAATGCTACACACACACCCAAGGCAAGGAAATACATGAAATTCCTATTCTGCTTAGGGAATACACGTATTTACTGATTTCAGTTAGGAAATACACGTATTTACTGAACTTTTTCATACTTTTTACACATATTTACCGACTGCATTTTGGTGGAATAATTTAAAATATGAATTATAAAATATAAACAGATGCACAGTCCATTCAATGTTGATATCAGTTAGCATAATTATCACGCGTGAATGAATAATATGTAAAATAAACTTTTGATTACTTATTAATTTTAAAATTTGCATTATTTGTAAATTTTTTTCCAAAAAAACTTAATAATGATATTCTGCTTTCATTTTCTGGAATGTGTTGATTTGAACATATTTTATTGATTATACTTTACAATTGGGATTGGGCAAAAGTTCTAAAAACTTATTACGCCCTTTCCCTATATATACATTATACCAAACATATTTACATACATGGGTTTCAGCTTAAAATGAAATAACAACAATAATGATAATATATAATAATCAGAGTAAAACACATTCAATGGAATATATTTCATATGTAATAGACATGCTGTATAAGATTTACAATTAGAAATAATTATTGTATCAACCAAATCGTCCTGACTTTTTATTAAAAGTTTGTACAATAGAAAATATATAGGTATTCATTTTCAAAATCATTGAACGATTTGTCTCCCCAGAGTAAAGTGTGAGTATCGACAGTGTGTAATTTACCCATTCGCAAAAATTTGTCAAAAAATTCTTTCCTGTATTCTGTATATTTTTTGCATGAGAAGAAATAATGGTGAGTATCCTCCACTCTTCCACAAGAACATAGTGGACTCAAGATTACACTACATCGAAAAAGATCGCTATTAAGCACACAGTTATGTCTAAGCCTCGTGTGTATTATATTTAAGCGTCGATTTCCATAACTGAAGTAAGAGGGTGGCATTTGTTTATTGTAAGGAATAGACTTTTTAAAAATAGATAACGAGGGAGAATTTCTTACATTAAGAGGTAATGAGTTCCATTCTTCAATAACAAGGGGAACGAAAGTTGATTTGTAAGCTTGCAATCTGCATTTGGGTATGTTATAGTTCTGAGAGTTTCTCGTACTGTAACTTGATGGATTACATCGTAAGTTAGGGATTATATCAGTGAGATATTCAGGAACTTGGTTTTTATCAATTTTATACATTGTAGTTAGTCTGGTCTTTTTCCTTCTTTCGTGTAATGGTTCCCATCCAGTTTAATTCAAAGTAAAGTGCATCTTTAGAAGCTAACAGAGTTAATCCTGTGACAATTCTAGCAGCACATCATTGTAATTTTTCTAATTTTTCGCTGTCACCTATATTACACCCACCCCACACCAAGGAAGCGTATTCTAACTGTGGCCTAATAAAGGTTGTGTACATGAACGAAAGAGTTTTTCGGTTGACAACAAATTTAAGTTTTTTTAACAAGCCCAATTTTTATATGCTTTGGCTAGAATAGTATCAATATGTGTAGACCAACTAAGATCTTGTGAGAAAAAAATTCCTAAATGTGTTCTCTATATCACAGCATTCTTTCACTAACTTTAAGTAATTTAATCTAAAAAAAAAAACTAAAATCGCTTACTGGCATTTCTTTTTGGTTTATTAAATATTCATACAATGCTACATTTATTGACAGTAAATTAAAAACCCTAAAGCATCTTATTTGCAAATAAAACAATCCGTATCCGGTCTCCTAAATTAAAAAAATTAAAAAAAAAAACACTTGTAAACACTTGTAAAATTTTCCACCCACATATTTTAATAGTTCAAAATAGAAAAATAAACATTGTTTTTTTCTTATAAGCTTAAATAAGTAATAATTGCAAAACATATCTATGTTACCATAATTTTAAAGACGTAAGACTCAAATAAACAGTAGTGTCGTTTACTGATTTTGATTTTCAAAAATCAGTAAACGACAGAAGTACCGAGTATATCAACATTTAATAATCGTACATTTTTGACGGAATGTTATAAAGGATATGTATATTCATCCAGCTTAGTTCAGTAAAAACACGTAAAATTAGCTTAAACTTTCAGTAAATACACGAATTTCCTAGCAATTCAGTAATTACGCGTATTTCCTAAAACGGCCAGTAAATACATGTATTTACTGAATGGTTTAGGAAATACATGAAATTCCTGATTTCACATATTTACTGTAACATATACAGTAAACATGTTCTTTATAACCGAGTTTTAGAGTAATTCAAAATTGTCTCTATTTTCATATGTTCATTCTAAAACCTAGTTAAGTTCTGTTTGCATACGGTATCAGAAGTAGTATATTCCCCAGTGGATCATAAGCTCTTCTGCAGCCTTCAATAGCTCCTCATTTTGGTTGTTCTTTTTTAGATCATTGTGAACTTTGCTGATGCAGGTCTGAAGCTTGGCCAAAGCTACCTCATAGGATTTTATAATGATCTTGTCGTTAGGCCTTCCCTTGAGAAGTCTTCCATATATGCAATACTCCTCAACAATGGGGTTATCAGGAAGAAGCCTATGTACTTTGCTGGACATGGAATCTGCATAAGAAGGTATGCATTAATACGACATCCTCAGTATAATCAATAAGTTTAAAGAGTGGAAGGAGATGAGGATGATGTTATTTTAAATTTATTCAAGTTCATGGAATTTAACATTATTTTGAAATTACCTGTATTTTGTGCCTTGCTTGTTTACCTTTTAACCCTGTTAATGTTGAAAATTATTTTATTCAACCATTTTCAAACTCTTATTTAAAATCAGGAAATATATGGTTTTGCATGTGCATACCTGATTTATCGGGTTTCTTGCAGGACTCATGATTAGCTGTGGCTGAATTGTCTGATTCAAAATGAAAATGAAATGTAAAATTTCATAGCACAATTACTGCATATGTATATTTTGAGAAACATATTTAGTAAGTTCCAATTCTATTCTAGCAAATTTTATTAGTATTACCTTTTTTACTTGCAAAAAGTTTCCTCTTGCAGCTTGTAAATTTCTTAGTACTTCTATTTTGAAATGCATCTGGATAAAAAAAAAAGTTAGAGGTATATAAATGAAATATGTGGGGCAGTGTAATTTTGAGAAAAAAATTTCAGCATAAGATACTAGTAATCTACTTTGACATCATTTTTTCAAAATATTATGTAGTCGCCAACACATCTTTTTTCCACTATTGTTGATAAAGAGTTCTTAGCGCATTCTTTTGTGACAAAGTCTGAAAATGTACAAATCTGACGGGATTTCCGGAACAAATTTAAAGTAACATAAACATATAAACACTATGTTAAATGCTTGTTGAAGGAATCCTAACATTGGTTAATGAAGCATTTTACTGTTGTGGACTTGATATGCATCAATAGTAAAAATGACAATGATAGCAATTTATATCTTTTGTTTACGGAGGGTATTGTGTATGAGTATATATACATAATGTATATATATTTTGTTTTGTAGGACTTGCCAGATAATTGAGGATTGGTAGAGTCTATGACCCCAGCCTCCTGATCTTCCACGGCGCAAATGTCCATGTTCTCCTCACCATCTCTTTCTCGCGAGTCTGTAGCCTGAATCTCTGTGCCTCCAGGATCATTCACATCTCTTTGGCCTGAGTCTAAATTTCAAGATCAATTTTCATTAGTATCTGCTGATATTTCTCTGAGCATGTTGAGCATAGATTTTATGAGTTGATTTGTATTAGGGCCCTGCATTGAACAAAAAATGCTCTACAGAAATCATCCTGTCTGTCTGTACATATTTCTGGATGGCACTTAAAGCATCTCCGGTATATTCTAGAAATTTTCATGAAGGTCTCTTAAATAGACTGCTCAAAAAGTTGGTTCTATGTATCCCAGACCTCTGGTCATACCCTGTGAATATGTGTACAAATTTTTAATTGATAGTATGTTGTACTTACATGTACACAATGTAGGTGTAGTAGGTATTTTGAAAAACTGATTGATTGAATATATATTGTTTAACGTACGTCTTTCTCGAGAACTTTTCACTCATAAGGAGATACCACCCCTTGCTGGTGGAGAGCTGCAAATTTTGTTCCATACTCGGCACTCAGGGCCATTGAGCAGGGAGGGATCTTTTTTGTGCTAGCACCTACTGTGACACGGGACCTCGTTTTAAACAGTTTCATCCAAAGGATCGGTCTCCACGTCCCACAGTGGGATTTGAACCTGCAACGTAAGGATTGACTCCTTACTTCACGACTCTGGAGCAGGCACTCTAACCACTGCTCTACCCAGGCGACTATTTTAAAAGAAGAATGTGTAAAGATTTCAGTTTGCCTATAGGTTTCTCTATCCATGCATCTTTATAAGTCTGAACTATTTTTTGAGTCTGAGCATTGTGGGGCCCTATACACAAAATTTTACAAGCAAAATAGTAGGATAAAATTGCAAGAAGGATGATTTTATTATATTACAGTAAGTTTTTAAGTTTTGTTTTCAATTTATTCAGAACACTCATGAATGTAATTTACAATAATAGGACTAAGAAATTTTCAAGATGCATCACTACTTTTTCTGCAAAATATTGTAGGACACCTGCTGAGAACGGATTGGTTTGGACGTCATTTGTCTCCATCCCTGCACATTCCTGCCCTGCTGCATCCCTGCCCATAACTTCAAATGCATCATGTGAGTCTCCACCACCCAAATCTTGGACTGGACAGGCTTTTGAGTCCTTGTCCCCTTCAGCTGAAATTGCAACAGAATCCATGCATTTCTATAAGTTTGTACTATTTTTTAAGTCCGAGCATTGTGGGGCCCTAAATGCAAAATTTTACAAGCAAAATTTTCAAGCACTAGTTCAATTAATATGTCAAGTAGGATAAAATTGCTTAATGTACAAGTAAGATGATTTTATTATATTACAGTAAGTTTTAAGTTTTGTTTTCAATTTATTCAGAACACTCATGAATGTAATTGATAATAATAGGACTAAGAAATTTTCAAGATGCATCACTACTTTTTCTGCAAAATATTGTAGGACACACCTGCTGAGAACGGATTGGTTTGGACCTCATTTGTCTCCATCCCTGCACTTTCCTGCCCTGCTGCATCCCTGCCCGTAACTTCAAATGCATCACCTGAGTCTCCACCACCCAAATCTCGGACTGGACAGCCTTTTGAGTCCTGGTCGCCTTCAACTGAAATTGCAACAGAATTTACAATTTTTACTCATCTAAGTTATAATTAAGTGAATTTTCAAGGTTTTCAGTTAAGTGTTGAGCTCACTTGATTTAAAGTTAGCTTTTGGTTTTTTATAAGGGAAAAATTAGTCAATGTATTTTTTAGTCAGTACCTGGGTTATCAGTGATTGCTTGGATTTGGTTGTCTGTTCTGTGTGAGTTCTCTTCTCTAGTTTTTAGAGCAGAATTGGCCTTGATTTGTCTGTCAGAGTCTAGATATAAATAGGAAATAAGGTTTATTGCTATAAAGTTCCAAATAGATGTTATATTGAAAGGATAAATACCTAAGCATTCTTCTTCTAAAGATTCTTCTGTTAGGTTTGAGTTGTCCACCAGAAGCTCTGAAAAAAAGAAATAAGATATATTATTTTCTGTAGTAAAGATTTTCAATGTGCTTTATATTTTTATGAAATCTATAATCCATTTCATTGTAGACAACAATTTTTCTCCCCTTTCTAGTTGTATGCACTTACAAAAGCTCTAAACACTGCTCACGGAATTCAAATCCCATGGAAGTTTGTTTCAGTTAGAGTAATCTGCCCTTTGATATAATGATATTTGATATTTTAGGAATGAGCAACCCTGTATATAATTCAGTAATATGTCGATCACCAAGTCCATTATAAATGGTCACTAATTTGGCGATTTATAGAAAATTTTTCGACACAAATCAAATTTTTAGGTGTCATGGGGACTAAAATAGGATGAGAATAGAGGATTTTTTTTTATTGTGGTCTTGTTACTTTTTAGATTAAGTTTATTATAATTTCTTACCTTCATTTTTAAGTATCCTTGACTTCTTTCCCTCAAACACTTTGATTTTAGTTAGTGGTAGCTGAAGTCTCCTGGCCTCAAACTCTGTTAAGCACTTACTCCAGGCCACAGAAGTCCTTTCCTTGTAGTCTTGTAATGTTTGAGACCTGAAGTGTAGAACCGGGGGTTGTGGATGTTCTGAGCATGTTGGTCCATCATGAAAGACAATTTGATCTTCTTTAACTGACCACCAGTAATCTTTTCCTTGTAAGAGATAATCTGCTATCTGTTCTAGGTGGGTTTGGAAGAGATATGGCCTAGTTCTTAGTAGATCTAGTGGGAAAGTTGAATTCTCTGCTGGTGGCAGGAGTCTTGCTTGGTGACTTATGTTTGATTCTTGTTGTTTGTAACTGCTATTTCTTGTCTCGCTCTGCTGTTGGATGTTGTATCTCATTACGGCGTTATCGATGACCTTTCCACACTGCCTACTAGATGTTCTCAAGGATATTGTCCTCAGATCCCCAAATGATCGCTCTTCTTGTTCAGGTATTAACGATCTGAGGCAAAAAAGCCTGTATGTTTGTGGAGTGTGGACTGTGAGGCAGTGAAAATGACACCCGTAAAATTTTCGAGCAGTCATTTTCTTGGGAATTCCAATTATGCGCTTGCATAAAAAGCTAAATAGAAAGCATTGATTATGGAATCTAAGAATTCTCTTTGAAGTTCTTTGGCTATTTAGACTGTAGCATATTGAAATAATTTCTACGAGAGAGGTGCACATGTCCACTATGTCTTTAGAGATTTTTCCTTCTGCATTCTGTGTGGTAACAAAATTTGCCAGTTTTATTGCATATAATCTTGCATCTGAACCCTTCAACTGGTTTTTATCCCCGATCGTTAGTTCCGAAAACTTTTCAAATTCTTGTTGTGCCTTTTTATCTTCGATATGTGCAGGGAGTTCGGTTATCAAATTTTGGACAACATTGGTGAGGTCATGAAGAGGCTCGGATGCTGGAATCTCGTACATGGACAACACATCAGAATTGGAATTATCACTGCATAAAAGAGCTGGTGGTCGTTGTGTGCCATGCAGAATTGTGGCGAGTTGCTCTTGCATTTCAGGCTTGGACATATAAAAGGTGTCGACTCCCCTGGCTTCCAGTTCTTCTATCAAATCATCTCGTTTTAAATTATTTAATGGACTCAAATTTTCTAAGGAAAACCCTTTCCATAGACAACCAGCTCTGAACAATTTTACCCTTTCTTGCAAAGATGGAGAATGAAATCTCATGGCACACTCTAAATTCTGGTGTTCCGCTGCCTTAATGCCACAGAGACAACTGTAGTGTCCACCTCTCTGTTGTCCGGCTTCAAATTGCCTAGCTGGTCCATCACCAGTGAACACCCTGACTTTGTCGTAGATAAAGAATCCTTTGTGGGTTGTTGGAGTTTGGATTTCTGCAAGGTCGGCTATTCTTGTGTCTAAATATGTCATCTGGTCACTGTCACTGGACTTTGATTGGCCTAGAATATACAGATAGGGCTTCTCTACTGCACTCTGAACATCTATTGGGGTTTTATCTGGAAATCTCTCTCGGAACTCCTCATTTGTCAGGAACACAGATGGATCATATAATGTTGAAACCATAAAGGCCACATAACTATGGTTGAGGATGTCGCTGTGATCGTGCCAGAACTTGAGATGCCGAGTATTTTCTGTGTTAATCTCTTTATGGTTAAGATTTCTAAAAAGGTTGGACTGATCTGTGTTCATTTGGTACCTGATTTTCTCTAAGGGTATTTTCCTACCATGAACCTGAAGAGACACATCTTGAAGTTTTCCGTTTGACATTATTTTATTTCTTTTAATTATCTTTGGAGCAATCTTCTCACCAATGTAAATTTCACTTGTGTGGAGTTTTCTCTGGATTGCATTTTGAAGACTTTTTGTTGGACGTGGGGTGGGGATCGATACTCTTTTGTAGAGTTTATACTTGGCTCTGCGGACCCTCTGAAAGTAATCTCTACCACTGAGCCTTTGTAGGGGGTTGAATTTGTTCACATTCACACCTAAAGCTTTAGCAATCTCTAACAAGACCTGTCCAGCATTTGGGGGTCTCACCCCATTTTTGTTAGTCAAGTTGAATTTAATGGCTAAACCCCTCCAACTTACTTTGGAGCCAGATGGAATTGCATTTACATGCTTTAGAAATGCTTGTTTTTCAAAGTTGTAATTTTGTAGATTGCCTGTATGTCTCTTTGCCTTCCTCTCCCCAGACTTGACCATTTTTGTTGTTTTTTCACTGCGTTCTCTTGCCGCCGTCGGTGTTTCAAAGAAACTAGCTTTTCTATCTCTATCTCGTTGATTGTAAGAAAGTCCAGATGAAAGAAAAGAGTTAATTTCATTTTCATTTGAGAGGATGTTTGAAACTTTTTCACTGCTTTTTTTTGTCTCATTGATTTTTTCTTTGAATTTTTGCACTCCTGATTGTTTTTCAGTTAATTTGTAATGGAATGAAGCAGCATTTTTAAGGGTAGTCTGAAATTTTGATTCAAAGATAGGTTCTAAAATGTTCAGCATTTGTAGTTGCCCATTTGCAGTTCTGTTTGGGGTTAGTGTTTCTATTTCATCAGCTAATTCTTTTGCTTTTGACATGATGTTTTCTGTGTTTTCACTGATAGATGTGTGCAGAGTTGATAATGTTGGATAACTGGCCTCACATCTGGCACAATCTTGTAAGGAATGCAAATTTTTTTCTCTTTCTGATAAAAGAGACCATGATTGTAATGAGAATTTCTGAAGAAATTGCTGTTTTTCACCATTTTTGTTGGAATTTTTCCAGTACTTGTTATTTGTTAGATAATTTTGCAGTCTGGAAAGGTTTGGTTTGAATTTTTTGTAGGACACGTACATTTTGGGATATCTATGCATAACACTTTGGTAAAAGTCATAACGTGCCGGTGCTGAAATAGTGTTGCTAAATTTGCTGACTTGAAGTTGAGTTGTTGAAAGTGTAGATTCTTTTGAGTTAGACTCTGTTTTGTTTTTCCACCATTCAACTGAATTTTCATCTTTTGAACTTCTAGCTATTATGACCTTAGCAAAGTTGCAGTAATTCATATTTACCAAAAGTCTGATACACTGTACTAGTAGTTCATAATATTTGTGTACATTACCATATTCTGCAAATCATTGGGGTCTTTGTAGCAGACGCCATTGTAATGTATATTCTCTAAGAAAAATTCTTAGGTTATGAAAAAAGAAAAAAAATCATTTTTAAAAACTTTATCACAATTTTTCATTTTATCAAAATTAATTTTTATAAAATGCACCCCACTAATTTTTTTTTGCTGCCAGTATTGCAAAAAACTCACAGCACATAAACCTTATTTTGGCTTTATAGCTTAAGTTTTTCAACAAAAATTGACTGAAAACTTTGAAAATATTTCTTAGTTATACAAAGGTAACATTTTTTAACTTGTATGAGCTGTATTTAACTTTTTCATTTCGGGGCCTTTTGGTTTAGAGGGTATAATATTTATACAAATTTTAGGTGAATAACTTCATTAATACTTAAATAACTTTACAATTGTGCTAATATTAACTATTGAAGTCAAATTTTGCTGTCTTACTTTTTAAATAGAAAACGAAATTGATAGCAATGTATTTATTATGCAAAAAGGGGGGGGGGTGTATGTACTTCGTATTTTTTTTCCTGTTCTGTGTTGGATATTAAATATGAAATAAATAAATGAAAAGAAAGATTTGTTTTGTTTTGTATTATTTTATTTATTGATTATTCATATGTAAATTGATGTGAATAAATGAAAAATGGCACAGAATTGTCCTTTATATACATGTATTATAACGTGGTCCATTGATGCACAAGGACAGGTTCAGTGGTTGGTATTTGGAATATCGGTGAGAAATGCCAAGGAGTCATAGACCTGAAATGAGAACAAAATAATATTTTTGATAAATTCAATCATTTTTATTCATTATTAAGCGAATCTAGAGGCATTCGGAGAAATCCATTGAATAAAGAGTTCGATTTTCCCGCATTGTTTACAAGATGATTATCTACCCTTGTTATGAATTATCTCCCCATGATCCTGGTCATTGGTGCGTTTACATTTTGACTTCTCGACAGGAGAAACGATGTAAGGTATATAAATCGGCCCAGTGCAAGGGCATAACCTCAATGGATTTCTATGATATTTTATAGAACAAAAGAAAAATGATTATAGATTGTAAAAAGTGCTGCGATCCTGTTGAAATCGGGTTTAATTTATTGGTACTGGGTGTAATACTATTATTGTCCAGAGCGTATGTGCATATTATGACAGATTCTTTAGCCTAGTATATATTTACTTATGAGTGTTAATAAGATTATCTATTCAAAATGAAAATTGTCTTTTGACAAGCACCCCCTACAGATCCCTATATCCGTGAATGAGTAAGAGCTCGAGTCCGCGAACTCTGGAAATGTACATAAAATTAGACACTACGATTTTAAAGCTATAACGTTTAAGATTCTAATATGTTACACTACCTTACCATGTAAATTAAATATCATCAACAAATCAGAACTGAGAAAAGGGGGCGTGGGTCAGAACCCCACGAGAAAATTTCTTAGTTCCATCTACATGACATTATTAAACTAAGAAAATGCACGATAACAAGATATAAGTCACCTGATTATCATGTAAAAACTTTTCAACAATTGAATTTAAATAGTGCTTTAACCCAGAGGCCATGACTATCACAATTTTGTAAGAGGCACCATGCTTATCACAACTATACACTAAGCCCCCTCCCCCCCCCCCCATTTTCCCCTAACCTTACTTATACTATATAGGACATGTTAATTGAAAGTCAGCCCCACCCACCCACTATTAATAACGTATGAAAAATGTACTATAAAAAGTGGTACTGAAAAATAGTTGACATTGAAAAGAAAGTTTGCCCCCCCCCCCCCCCCCCCCCCCCCTATGAAACACAATTTTCAACTTTGGACAACTTTTTCCTTTTTTTTTCTTTTTTGCATGTCAACTTTTTTCAAAAACGATGCTACGTGCCCTGAAATTAACGAATCACAAACTGGCATCCTTCCTCCTCATAACTATGTACATACTTCTTTGGTTTAATAACCAGGTGCAGAAAAAAAATTTCAAAAGAAATAATTCATTTTCACAATATTACTTTTATATTCCAACTCTAGCATTAGAACCACTGACCCATATTTTTTTTAAATATGTGTTTTGTTTGCTGATATGAACTTTGCAGCCCCGCAATATTCATCTTAAAACCGGAAGCACGATTTCGTAAATTTGAAATCTTGATCCCGAATCAAATTTCACATCCAGAGAGAAAAAACAATCGGCATTTTTATTTTTTTTTTCTAAAAAATTCTAAACCTTGACCGACGTAAACATGAAAATAAAAAGAATGTCTAAAATATGTAATTTAGATCATTGACATATTAACCAGGAGCAATGGAAAACATGTTAAAAGAATCCACCCATTTCACTAAATAATCATTAGAATCCCACCCTAACACCAGAACCCCTAACTCAGGGGCCCTGAAATTCAAAAATTGGAAAAAGGCAGTTTTATTCAATATAACTATGTACTTTGTTAGTTTGTTTAATGACCAGATGTATAGAACAAGATTTTAAAAGAATTAATATATTCTCACTATAAATTTGGTAGAGGCATCCATATTCAATATAAGTATGTACTTGGTTAATTTATTTAATGCCCAGGAGCAGAGAATAAGATTTTCAAAGAATTATGCAATTTCACGATATAATCAATAGAGCCCAACCCTAGCACTGGAACCCCTGACCCAGGGGCCGTGAATTGCAAAATTTTGGTAGAGGCATCCTTATTCAACAGAACTATGTACTTGGTTAATTTATTTTATGCACAGGAGCAGAAAAGAACATTTTCAAAGAATTTAAGCATTTTCATTATAAAATCTAATTAACCCCTTCCTAGCACTAGAACCCCTGATCCTGGGTCCACAAAATTCACAATTTTTGTAGAGGCACTCTTCTTCATCATAACTATGTTTATGTAGTTTATGTACTTAGTTAGTCTGCTTAATACACAAGAACATAGAAAAGATTTTTATGCCCCCGGATCGAAAGATCGGGGGTATATTGTTTTTGTCCTGTCTGTCTGTCTGTCTGTCTGTCTGTTTGTTTGTTTGTTTGTTTGTTTGTTTGTCCCACAACTTTAACCTAGCCCATAATTATTGAGTGGTTGGGGCTATGGCTTTCACAATTCAACAGTGTTACTTGTGACATGACCTTTCTTTGAGTACCACCAAATTTAATCTCTTGACCTTGGAGTTTGACATACTTTTTATTCTATTTGTTATAAACTTTAACCTTCGCCATAACTTTTGAACAGATCGAGATAGAGACTTCATATTTGAAATGCATACTCCACTAAATAAGCACTTTCAACTGATACCAAGGACAATGACCTTTTGACCTTGTCTGTGACCTATATGCTAAAAATAGATTTGTTAAAAAACTTTCAGTATAACTTTTGAACCATAGGAGATAGAGACTTTATATTTGGTATGCCTATTTCATCAATTAAGTGCTTTCAAACGACACCGAGGTCAATGACCTTGTGACCTTGACTGTAACCTTTATGCTAAGATTAGCTTTTTCGAACTTTGTTGCCCCCGGGGGCACAGTGTTTCACAAACACATCTTGTTAAAGAATGTTTTTCACTATATAATTAATTATGCCCTGCCCTAAATCCAGGAACTCCTGTCCTGGAGCCATAAAAATAAATATTTTGGTAGTAGCACTCTTGCTCATCATTACTATGTACTCAATTACTCAATACTTTATTTATTACCCAAGAGCAGAGAAGAAAATTTTCAAAGAAATAATGCATTCTCACTACTGTATAGGGGGAAAATAACTCGCGGTGTTAATATTCGCTATATTCACCGTGTTAATCGATCCGTGAATTCAAGAAACAGTGAATAAGTTATAAATAGGTGTAGAAAAGTGAGGAAACTTTTATCATATACAAATTTCGTGAATTCAAGAAACCGTGATTGTGTCAAAGAAGAGAAAAACGTGAAAATTACAACCCGTGAAATTAATCCCCTATACAGTATATACTTGTTTTAGCCCCCTCCTAGCACTAAAACCCCTGACCCCTGGACAATGATTTTCAAAGACTCAATGCTGATTACAATCATGCAAACAGTTTGATTGCTTGATGTCCAGCAATAGAGAAGATTTTTAAAGATTGCACTAATTTTAGTGGATTTGGCCCCACCCTCTCAGACCCCAGTGGGGCAGGGATCATGAAATTAACAAGAGGCCCACGGGCCTTAAAGGTCACCTGAGCATCATGCAACAACTTTCAAGTGCTTGAATTTGGTTCATATTTTAAGCCAGATTCTATGGCATTTACAATTTTGAAAGAGGCACCATTGCTAATCATAACTACATGTATATACTTAACAATTCTTGGTTTAGTGATTTAATTCCCATGGGCAAGGTAGGGGAACAGAAAATGCATTTCCGCAAATCAGTAATATTCAGCAATAATCAGTGGTGCCCACTACCACACATGAACCCCTGACCCTAGGTCCACACAATGCACAATTTTGAAAAGGCACCCTTGCTTCAAAAAATATTTAATCAATACAAACGGGCAGATTTCAAACAATTAATTCATTTTCATTATATAAGAGTAGAAGCCCCCCCCCCTCCGCTATGGTACTCCTGATCCAGGGGCCTTGAAATTCAAAATTATGGAAGAAGCTAAGGGCTCTTGCTCATCATAACTATAAAAGTAGTTCATCTGCTTAATAACCTGGAACAGGGATATTTTCAAAGAATTCATGTATTTTCACTATAAAAGTATATAATCAATAGAGCCCCACCCTAACACCAGAGCCCCTGACCCTTGGCCTTGACATTCAGAATTCTAGAAGAAAGGCTCATGCTTAACATAACTATGTAGTTAATTAGTTTATTTAATACCCAGTAGCAGAGAAGAACATATTCAAAGAATTCATGTATTTTCACTATATAATCAATAAAGAACCCCACCCTAACACCAGAATCCCTGACCCTTTGGCCATTAAATTCACAATTTTGGTAGAGGCACTCTTGCTTATCATAACTATGTACTTAGTTAGTTTATTTATTACCCAGGAGCAGAGAAGAAGATTTTCAAAGAATTCATGTAATTTCACTATATAATCAATAGAGAGCCCCACCCTAACACCAGAACCCCTGACCCTGGGGTCATAAAATTCACAATTTTGGTAGAGGCACTCTTGCTCATCATAACTATATATTTAATTAGTTTATTTATTACCCAGTAGCAGAGAAGAAGATTTTCAAACAAGTAATGCATTTTCACTATATAACCAATTTAGCCTCGCCCTAGCACTAGAACCCCTGACTCTGGGGCCTTGAAATTCACAATTTTGGAAGAGGCACACTCGGTCATCATAAGTATGTACTTAATTAGTTTATTTAATACTTAGGAGCAGAGAAGAAGATTTTCAAATAATTCATGTAATTTCACTATATAATCAATAGAGAGCCCCACCCTAACACCAGAACCCCTGACCCTGGGGTCATAAAATTCACAATTTAGGTAGAGGCACGTTTGCTCATCATAACTATGTACTTAGTTAGTTTATTTATTATCAAGGAGCAGAGAAGAAATAGAAATAATGCATTTTCACTATATAACCTATTTAGCCCCACCCTAGCACTAGAACCAATGACCCTGGGGCCTTAAATTTCATAATTTTGGTAGAAAACTAAATGGTGATTACAATTATATTAACAGTTTTATTGCTTGATGTCCAGGAGAAAAGAGGAAGGTTTTTAAAGATTGCACCAATTTTAGTGGTTTTTGCCCAAGGCCCCAGGGGGGCAGGGACCATGAATTTCACAATTTTTGTTACCCTTCACCCATAGATGATATATGCCAAATTTGGTTGAAATTGGTTCAGTGGTTTCAGAGAAGAAGCTGAAAATGTTCAATTGTTATCGCATGACGGACAATGACGGACAAAAACAGATAGCAATAGGTCACCTGAGTTTACTCAGGTGACCTAAAAATTGTATGTTCCCATTACCCCATAGATGCTTTATGCCAGATTTGGTTGAAATTTGTTCAATGGCTGCAGGGATGCTGAAGAAAATTTTCTAATTTTAACGCACAATGAAAATGGATTGCACCTTAGTTTACTCAGGTGACTTAAAAACAGAAACCTAAAAAGTCCGTTAAAAAAATTAAAGAAAATTTACAATGATAATGCAATTATGTCACAAATCAAGTACTCTAGCTATTTCATATAAATTATATGAATTTGATATTGACAAACTGAAAAAAAAATAAATTATGGGTAAACATTTCAAGTTTCTCGTTCATTTTTTTTATTTCCATGAATATCAAGAGTGCTGAATTTTTCATGGAACTATCAAAGAGACCCGAGTGTTCAAGCAATTTTTCAAACAAATTCATGTACATGTATTATATCGATTTATAAGTACTAAATGAATAAGCACAAACATAAATATATGGAATATAGTCATGATAGTAAATAATGTTTAAATTTTTTTTAGAACATCTCCATATTAGTCCTAGAAAGTGGGGACAAGAGACCGATCAAGTCGAGATATTCCCCTTCCGGAAAGACAATTAAGTATTTTTTCTCCGTCCTTGCAGACGGAGAAATTAAAACATTGTCAACTTTCAAGGAAAACATGGCAGGGAAACTGAAGATGAGTGCACAATTTAAAATTCTCAAGGCTGCATATTCGGAAATTTACGGATATGAGTTAAAAAGTGACTCCATAGTATGTACTTTATTTATACCTTGTTGGACAATATCTATACATATCTTAAGTAATAAACAATAACAAACACAAACAGCTGATATGAATTATAAATTGGCTTTATCACTATATAATTCAATTATAATAGATCATGGAAACCTCCTTTCAACTGAAGGAGGAAGAGAAGAAGGTAGAGGAATTCTACAGCCCACCAGAGAAATCCTTCAGTGCTGCCTTTAGCCTTGCTAACAATATTCGTTTTACAATGGGGCCTGTGGAGGTTTTAAAGGTATATACTTCCCCCCCCCCTAAATAAAATCTGCAAAATTTAGATTTTTTTCCAAGTGATTAAAATATTATTCAACAAGAGGCCCATGGGCCACATCGCTCACCTGAGCACTGTGGCTAGGAAAAAGTAGAAAATCATTTATTATTGAAAAGTTTAGGATTTGCTTTTCTTGAGAAGATAATCTTTAAAGAATTTTCTATACATATTTAAGTACAAATTTTGGTCAACCATTTTTGCCCCTCCCTACCCCTAGGGGTAATGATTTGCACAAACTTAGAATCTACAATACTGTGCTTTCATCAATATTCGTTGAGCATCAATTTTCATGGATTTCGTTAAGGAGCAGATCCAAGATTTCAAATACTCATTGAAACACGAAATATGACATTCATTTGTATTGGCAATGTATTTGTCAACGAAATAATGTATCCTCGAAAACGTCTGTTTCACAAAATCCACGAAAATTGATGCTAACGAAAATTGATGAAACCACAGTACCTGAGGATGTTTCCTTATAAATATCCCCTACCCCCGGGGGTCATGATTTAAACAAACTTGAATTTACACTTCCTGTGTATGCTTCTATATAAACATAACCAATTATGACTTTGTCATTCTAGAGAAGATTTTTCCTATATATTTCTATGTAAAACTTTGGTCGGCCATTTTAGCCCCGCCCTACCCCCGGGGATCATGATTTGAACAAACTTGACTCTACACTACTGGAATGCTTCCATATAAATATGATCAATCATAGCTTTATTATTGTAGAGAAGAAAATTTTTTTAAAAATTCCTATATACCGGTATTTCTATGTAAAAATTTGATCGGCCAGTGTGGCCCCACCCTACCCCCTGCGGTCATGATTTGAATAAACTTCAATCTACATTACCTAAGGATGCTTCCCTATAAGTTTAATCTTTCCTGGCACAGTGGTTCTTGAGAAGAAAATTTTTAAAGAATTCTCCTGTATATAACTATATTGCTATGTAAAACTTGAATCAGCCAGTGTGGCCTCACCCTACACCCAGGGGTCATGATTTGAACAGATTTGAATCTACACTACCTGCGGATGCATTCCTTCAAGTTTCATCTTTCCTGGCAAAGTGGTTCTTGATAAGAAGAATTTTAAAACATAGAATCAAATTTTCACTATTTCTGAATTATCTCCCCTGGAATAAGTACGTGGCCCTTCATTTGAACAAACTTGAATCCCCTTCATGGCTTTGAAGTACTTGAGAAGACGATTTTAAAATATTTCCTTATCTAGTACTACTTAGAACTTTTTGTCCATCCTGTCCCCCCAATAGTTACTCCCTGGGGTCATGATTTGAACAAACTTAAATCTACACTACCTGAAGATGATTTCACATAAGTTTCATTTTTCCTTGCCTAGTGGTTCCTAAGAGAAAGATTCTTAAAGATTTTCATTATATACTCTTATGTTAAACTTTGATCAGAAACTTAAAACTACATTACTTAAAGATACATCCACATTAGTTTAATTTTTCCTGGCCCAGTGGACATAAAAAATTTTCCCTATATACTCCTATGTAAAACTTTCATCTGCCATTGTGGTCCGACCCTACCCCCCAGGGGGTCATGATTTGAACAAACTTTAATTTACACTACCTGAGGATGCTTCCACATGAACTTTATCTTTTCTACCCCAGTGGTTCTTGAGAAGATTTTTGAAAAATGCCATTAATTTTTCATAAATTCATATTATTTCCCCTTGAAAAAAGGGCTTGGCCCTTCATTTGAAAAACTTGAATCCCCTTCACTTAAGAATACTTCATGATAACTTTGGTTGAAATTGGCCCAGTGCTTCTTGAGAAAATAAAAATGTGAAAAGTTTACGATGACAACGACAACAAGTGAGCTAAAAAGTCTTGCCAATAATTAAAGAGGGCCTCCTCCAATTTAACATCCTTGATACCCACCTGTAATATACATCTTTTAATTTATTTCAGATTGGAGAGATTTCAACGACTTCGCTTAACATCAGAAGAGAAGTCCAACTGGGATTTGCTGTCCGCACAGCACTGTTAACCCTTTGGGGTGCAGTTGCAGAGCAACCACTTATTGCAGTTGGACAGACTTACAAAGTCATGTGCATTAGAGCCACTAATGACTTTAACTGTCAAAGAAGTTATAATTCGACAATGTCGACAAAATTTGAGGTAATTCAAAATGATAATTTAAGAACATGTGTCACAGTGATTTTACTATCTGTACTTCATGCTTTAACTTTCTTAATTTTATGAAAAATATAGAGTAAATACTACATCTCCACAATGTATGATTCTACAACGTAAACTACAAATATCTTGAGGAAGAAATATAACATGTAAAATAATTTTAGATTATGTACATTGTTGTTGTTTATATAATTGCAGCCTGTGAGTGTAGAGGAAGAGGATGTGGAAGCATTATTGCATTTTGAAGGAGTTGTAAACTCTGTTTCTTTCGAAAAGTATCACTGTTTAATATTATTCAACATTTTAAATGAAGATAGAGATGCATTGTCATTTTTGAATGTCTGTCTTTGGTTTTCTCTGACTTTTTGTGTGTATCAAACTTTAACCTTATGCATCATTTTTTTCAAGTTAATAACATTCAAAGTATACAATCTGATAGTTTACCTTTCAATAGGCCAGAATTTATCAAGATTTATTTCCCGTCTGCAATACTGGAGGTCCAAATTCTCATATTCCTTCATTGTTCAACCAATTTAAAATTTTTATTGCAGAAGGAATCATTATTTTTCTGAAATATATAAATTTTTCGAAGCCTCCATTATTTAAAAAGTTTGAAAAGATTTTAAACAAAGCATTTCTGTTTAATCCCCTTAAACTTGGCAAGACAAAGCCTGAAAGAGGGAAAATCTCATACTAAATTCTCCTCCTATAGATAGTTTTTGATTCACCTTAATTTAACAAGAGTTACTTACCGTTGGACGCCATACTGGAGGTCTAAATTCTCGTTTTCAACCAATTTTAAATTTTGATATTTGCGATTTTTAATTAGGAATCATTATTTTTATGAAGTATATAAATTTATTGAAGCCTTCTTCATTTAAAACAAATATTGAAAGATATGAAAGATTTTCCATCAAATATTTCTACTATAATATTTTCTTAAATTTGGTAAGACAAAGAAGTTAACTTACGAGTTAACCTCCAATTTGGCAGCCAACGGGAGGTAACTTTTGTTAATATGACGCGCATCGGGAACTATCTCTAGCATGCATGATAACAAAATAATATAAAACAACTGCCTCTTTATATATGGGACTTTTTTTATAAAATATTTTAAGTACCTTTTTGAAGCGTCCAAAGCAAAGAAAATGTCCGTTCCGGATGTTGAATGAATCAGAATTAGTGAGATCCCGATCCCATTGCAAAAACTTAGTAATGCTTCTAAAAAGGATATTCCCTTATTACGCTATATAAAATGCCATGTACACGTAAAAATAAGGGGGATAAATAGCGGATAGTGTTTATTTTTTGTCAATGGCATTGTTATTCTTATTATAGGGACAAATCATATTCTATCATGTCATATATGATTACATACAAATTTTTTTTCCAGCAAACTTGTAGAAGTGGGAGAAGGTTTGCTAACAGTTTCTAACGCCCACCTGGGGGAGTTATACCCCCCACAAAGTGTTCAGTGCTGGACTATCCATTAGGGGCAAGAAGAGGGGAAATGACATCGTAGAAATGTAAGAATTCTTATATCGGTTACATATGAAATTACACAATTTATAAAAAGAAAGATTAAAAACGTCAAGCGCCTGTGAATTTATTCTACAATGTTCATGTTATACGTAACATTAAAGCTTCATTTTTTAGTTATACTTCTAACACCTTATTACCTGAGGTTTATAAATGTATTTATTTAAATCATAAAAATACAATTACCTAGAATAAAACAATCTATCTTAATTTCTATATTTTTCTTTTATTTCAGAGAAATAAAGAAATAATTCCAACATATAATTTAAAAAAAATAAATAACGGTCAGACATGGTTTTTGTTTTTATTTTATACCCAAAAATACATTAATTTTACTCGGTTTTGAGTTCATCTTTATAAGTGCTGTGAATAAGTCAATAAAAAGTGTAAGTGCACATAAGTCTACATAACTATTCTTACATGTACTGATAGTCATGTCATGTTGTAAATTTTGAATTTACCGGGTGGCAGTATATACAAAACTTACAACATGATAACTGATGATTTTAAAGAAAAGTATCACTTTTGTACCGAATGAGTTCAGACTCTCTTTCTTTTGAAATAAATGAGATTTTTGTGTTGCATGTGTAGCAGAGTGACACTGAGATAACTTTATCCAGCACCCGTCTGTCCGTCCGTCTCTGTCTCAAGAACTATAATAGATATGGACGTCAAAGAAATTTGTTTCTTTCAGTTTTCAAAATTCACAGAAAAGTGTTTTTTTTAAATCATATTCTCAGTAATGTCATATTCAAATTATTTTATTTTACAGAATCACTTATCATTAATTTGACAATCTCTTTTTTTTCAAAGTTGACAGTTATAAGTCATATTCATTGGAAAATATGTTTATTAGATCCATGAAACTAAATTTTGAACCTGAATTGGTAAACTCTCCATTCTTCATTACATGTAACACTCAAATAATGGAAATGTAACTGTAAAATTTATTCCATTTGTCCCAAATAAAATCTGAACCTATTCTATATAAAATTCGAACACTTCTGAGAAAAATTATATGCTTTTACAAACCCGTTCATATACATAACACATATATTTCCCAATAACGCGTTTGATCTTGGGTCAAAAACTGTGCTAAGGAGAGAGTTTGAATAAAACATAAAGCCTTTCTTTTATCTTTTCACATATATTACAACATGAGTGAAAAATAGATTATTAATAAAATATTGAAAGCATAAAATACAATGTGAAACGTGCAAATAATTATATTAACCACATTGTTTGGAAAAGTTACCATTAAAAAAAGTTCACAAACTTTTAGAGTTGAGAAATGTTTTTTCTCAGAGCAGAAGATTGTCCCATGTACGCTTTCACCCTTTTGCACATTTATTGCTTGGCACTATGTCGTTTGTAAATTGCCTTGGTTACTAAATTCGTGACCCTTGACCTTGGCTTCTGAACAATTTTACTGGGAAGGATAGTGTTATTATACAATTTATACACTATATTTCTTATATTGAAGAGAAAAACCTTTCATATTAAGCATATCATTAAATATCATGAAATAGAAACCGGAAAAACTGCTTTAAAGATGCAAAGAAAAAAAACGAAGATGACATTGACCTTTGATCTTGAATTTATTGACCCCTCTTATGAGTTATCAACCTTTAATGTTTTTGTACTTACTATTTACCTTATAACTTTAAAAGTATAAGTCGCACAGCCATGATGTAAATGCATAATAAATCATGACCTTTGACCATTAATATTTCATCAAATATCATAGTCTTTTCCCATTTCTCAATTTTTTTTCTTCTTTTAAGCAATATCTGGTTTCTTTTCCATGAAATTTAATTCTAAAGAAATAGATATAAAATGAAATTGAAATTCAAAGACTTTAGGCACAACTTTTATCTTCAGGTGGGAAAGGATCTGGTGACTCCTTGAATGAGTTACTGCCCTTTAATACTTTTGTGCTTACCATTAAATCTTGATACTTAAAAACTATAAGTCATAGAAGCATGAGGTAAATTACAATGTGACCCTTGACCTTTGAATATTATTTGAGGGTCAAAGGTCAAGGTCATCTCCATTTTTTTTTTTAATTTCTTTCTTCTTTTAAGCAAATCCTAGATTTTTTTTAATGAAATTTACTTTTTAAGTGATAAATATTATATGAAATTAAAATTCAAAGAAGGTGGAAAGACCTCTTATTGTTCTGTGAACAATAAGTCTCCTAGTTTTTTTATGATCTCCGTATTTCTGATCAAAATTCTATCAAAGTTGCACAACATGAATTTGAAACAAAGCTAAACAATTATACACTTAAACTGAATTATTTTCGCTGTCATTATGGATCCACGAAGAGTTAGAATTTTGGTGTTACATATTTTCAATATCTGATTCCGCGACTGCTCCGGGTACCCCTACTATAGACACATTTAAATATTTTTAATTTGTAAATTATTTCTTGCTCATATTAATTTTTAGTGTATGTCAAACGTATATGCAAATTTTCACCGAAAGTTGTTCATTAGAAAGCAAAATATACACAATGTCTCAATAATTTCCGAACAGCCCTCGTATATAATAAACATTAGATGTTGAAAGTTACCAAAATTACAGGGGGGGGTTGTTTTTTGTTTTGTTTTTAAATTTGATTACCTTCCAAACAAGCAATACCCATGTTTGAGTGTGAATGTAGGCCCCCAATTTTCCAGTTTTGGTAATGATGTTATGCCTCCATGTTCAGATGGGACTCCTGAGGGGTTCTGCCTTGAACTTTCTGTCAACAACAAAACAGATTCTGATTAATTTAATAAACTCTGAATGTTCTGTAGTTTTAAAAAATGAATCAAATGTTAACTGTAGGAGCTGTTTGTTTGAATTGGTTTCACTAATTAGGTAAGAAATTTACAAACCAGGTGCAATCCCATAACCTGCCACTACAAAACTATGTAACAATAATAGCCCTTATTCTTACATATCATACAAAGGATTTGTATTGCACAAGGAAAAAAATTATTATCTGTATGTGGGAAATATCTGCAATTTTCACAGCCTACTTTAACTCATAAATATCAATAGCTTCGAAGCATGAATGTGTCTCAGTATTTGTAAAGAATGTTTCCTTAGTCATGTCTGACACACACATTAAATCTTCGCGAATTGATTTCAAACTGAAAAATTGTGAAGAAAAGATGACGTGAATATTATAAGTTGGTTTACAGTACTGTGCAATAGTGCACAGACATTTTTCCTAAAATCATGAATGTTAGTAGTAGTACATGTAGTACTCTCACTTGGGACCAAACAAGATTTTGAGTACATGTATGTCAGTTCATTGACAATATGTTACTATAACACCATAAAGTTAAACACCATTAATTTTATTCCTAATGGAAAGTATTTTCAAGTATAAAGTCACTATAAACATAATTCTGACAAAAATTGACACAAAACATGAAATGAATATCACTTACAATGAAACAACTGAAACTGAACAAGGTGTAAATACATCAAATTAAGATCTTTCTTTTTTCTTCAGATCCTTGTGTAGCGATCTATGTGATCTGATTTTAATCAGATTGATTTCTTTGACTTTCACTGGCTTTTTTCCCTACAAGTTTGAACTTTTATTTTGGCCCCATCCTACACACAGGGGTCATGATTTGAACAAATCTGAATCTACACTACCTGAGGAAGCTTCTTTATAAATACGACCAATCATGGCTTTGTTCTTTAGATTTCTAAAGATTTTTCCTTTACATTCCCATGTAAAATTTTGATAGTCCATTGTGGCCTCACCCTACCTCCGCAGTAATGATTTCAACTAATTTGAATCTTCGCAACCTGAAATTTTTCCTTATAAATATGACTAATCAAGGTTTTGTTGTTCTTAAGAAGATTTTTAAAGATTTTTCCTATGTATTCCTAAGTGCAACAACGATCCCCCATTGTTGCCTCTCCCTACCCCCGGGGGTCTTGATTTGAACAAACTTGAATCTACACTACCCGTGGATGCTTCCACATTAGTTTCATCTTCCCTGACCAAATGGTTCTTGAGCAGCAGATTTTTAAAACATGCCACCAAAATTTTTACTATATCTATCTCCTCTTGAAAGAGGCGTGGCCCTTCATTTGAAAAAAAACTTGAATCCCCTTCACCCAAGTGACTCACTTAGGTGAGCTAACAGCTTAACAAGGGTTACTATTTGTTCAAAAAGTTCAAGGTCTTTAAGCGCTACTGAGAGCACAATATTTGCATTAAATCAGTTAAACTTGACTAACTTTTCAGATTTTCCTAATTCTTATATATAAGTTTTGTTGCTTTTCTGGTCTTCTTTAAAAAATACTCTATGTTTACTTATTAAGCATTTTTCACACATTTATTTTAGGTAAAGACAGTTGCAGTCTCGTCAACCCTGATTCTAAGATTTCCATGATTTTTCCATTCCTAAAAATATTTATCCATCCCCTGTGATGTAGGCATTAATTATAATAAATATTACATCATTGATGGATTTCTATGCGGGTTGTGTTAGACCTTGTCAAATGCCCATCATATTAAACAATATCAAATTAGTCTTAGCAACTTAATCTATACCAAATTAATTTTGAAAAGAAAAGGCTCCAGGCCATCAAATGACATATGCTTTAAACTAACCAACAGTTCTTCTGTCTAATTCCCAAAGGTCATCATACAGCCTGATAAGAGTGATTGAGACAGCTAGCCTGAACTCATTAATTAATCTTTAACTGGATGCTTGTCTGCTTGTTAATACCAATAGATGAATGGGTCTGCACTATCTACCATATTTTTTTAAAACATATAAAATATTCAAAGATTTTTTTTTGGTTGAGATTTATTGTCTGACAGGTTTTAATTTAAAATCCATATGGACATGCTGATTCCACCCCATCCCAGAAAATTAGTTTTCATAAATTAACAATTTTATATAATATAAGATAAGTCCACTATGCAATATCAAAT